GAACAATATACCCTAATGCATAAAATCATAAACCCTCTTTTATGAAAGCGTAGAATAAAATACCCTTATGTGCAAAATCATAAACCCTTTTCATGAAAGAGTTGAATAAAATGCCCTCATCCGTAGAACCATAAACCCTTTTTATAAAAGAGTAGAATAATATACCCTTAGGAGTAGAATCATAAACCCTTTTCATGAAAAGCGTAGAATAATAAACCCTTAAGCGTAGAATAATAAACCCTTAAGCGTAGAATAATAAACCCTTAAGCGTAGAATAATAAACCCTTTTCCTTGAATTTCAAGATGATAAACCCTTTTTATTTTCATATACTCTTGCTTTCATAAACCCTTCGGCTCATAAACCTTTGAAGAGTATATGACGATCTCATAAACCCTAAAGGGTTTACGAAAACTTATGCTTAGTACAAGAATTTATGATTCTACGCTTTTTTTTTTGACAGTGATCCGTAGAATCAGAAACCCTTTTTATGAAAGGGTAGAAAAGTATACCCTTATGCATAAAATCATAAACCTTTTTTATGAAAGGGTAGAATAATATACCCTTAGGGATAGAATCATAAACCTTTTTCACGAAAGAGTTGAACGAAATATCCTTAATCCGTAGAATCATAAACCCTTTTTATAAAAGGGTAGAATAATATACCCTTATCCGTAGAATCATAAACTCTTTTATGAAAGGGCAGAATGATTTACCCTTATGCAGAAAATCATAAACCCTTGTCCTGAAAGAGTAGAATAATATACCCTTAAGCGTAGAATCATAAACCCATTTCCTTGAATTTCAAGGTGATAAACCCTTTTTATTTTCATATACCCTTAGTTTCATAAACCCTTGGTTTCATAAACCCTTCAAGGGTTTATGATAGCGTCATAAACCCTTCAAGGGTTTATGAAAATTTATACTTAGTGCAAAGGTTTATGATTCTGCCCTTTTTTTTTACAGTGAAGGACGACAAGAATACATGAAGATATCAAACGATGTTTATCCTGTTGAAATTATTTCTAAAGCTGTTGACAATATTGTTCCAAGAGTTCTTCATTAGAAGGCCTTAGTATATATCCTTTTGATCGTCATCGAGCAGCTAAAATAATGATCATAAGAGCAGAAAACAAGTTCGTTGTTCGTCTTCATCGTCAACCAAATGTACACGAATTGAATCTCGTATTGAAGTAAGAGTAGTGAATTAGCAGCTTGTTTGCTTTTCAGCTTATCAAAACGAGGCCCCTTGGCAACTGTGATAGCACATTCAGCAGTCACATATGCATACAACCAGTCCTCAGTCATAAGAAAAACTCGAAAAAGAAAATCAGTTGAAATACAGTAAACTGAAGCAAAGATCGATGAACAATGAGATTCATTCACTATGTACTCCGTGCAAAAAACTATCTTTGTTATTATCATTTGATCGAAGATTGTCATCGTCATTTGTAATAAATCTGCTGAAATATAATTTTGTACAATCTATTGCTTTTAAATAATCGAATGCATTAATAACTTATGAGTTTTGTTAAATAGTTGCCGTTTTTCTTTCAATTCAATATTAGTAAACTTTCCGAAGAAGGTGGACCTAGTCTGACGCTGATGAGATCAACAAATTTCAGCAAGTCTAGAAACTCATCCCTTCAAAAACCTGATAATTGTGTAAAAATTTGGATGTGAATGGTTCTCACATTATCATGTTTCCATACTAAAACTGTAAATATCTTAAAAAACAAATATCTCGGTCTACGCTCACTATGGGCAACTCATGCGTAAAATTCGTTAGCTTGACGGAGAAAGTGATAATTTAAGCCGAATGTAGTCAATCTCTTCAAGTTGATAAACAGTATTTTTTTTCACAATGTGAAACATTACAAATGAACAATCAGGTTTTTTCTAAGAAGGAACACCAAGGTGAACTTGAATATTGATTTGAATATTATCACACCATCGTTGCTGCATATTACTATCTACTTCACTTTTCTCTTCATTCTTTTCGAATTCGACTGTCACTTCTAGTTCGTATACATCACTATGCAGCTTCTGCACTGTATTCGTTGTTTCACCATCTTCATCAGTAAAAATTTCATATGCATCTAGTTTGTAGCCGTTTTCATCGTATTGACCAAGTATGCATCGTGTTTTCATACCCATTTCAGCTCGAATAACGGCAATGGCACGTTCACCATACAAGAGCACTTCGTATTTTGAAGGTATTAGAAAACGTTGTGACATTAATGCAGGAAGAGATGAAGATAGATTCGGAGTGAAAATACAATTTAATGATTCGTTGGAGTCAGAAGAAGGTTGAACAACGATTTCACCCTTTTCGATTATCCAATTATCGTGTAATGAGACATTGCATTGTGCTTCGCCGTTTTTCAAAGGCAGTAAAGGTTTCTTAGGACCGAGTGTACCGTTTGAAAGAACGGCATGATGAATAGAAAGCACTTGGTCAAAACTATGCTCATTGAGTCCTTTTGCATCTGTTAAATTTGCGTATGAGAGATCAACCCACCCAAAATCGATGTTAGTAAGATCAGCACGAACTAAATTGGCGTATTCGAGTACAGTGCCAACCAATTTCGAATAGCGAAGATCTGCACCGTACAAATTGGTTCTCGTCATGTTGCACATCGTAAAAGAAGACGGTACAAGTTTAGCTTGACAGAAGTTTGCATTCACAAGATTCGACGTTGTATATCCTACTTCATCAATCCGAGCATTGCTAAAGTCAGCTCGAACCAACTTCACATAATTGAACATAATTTCAGAACCAGAGACACCGACAAAAGTAGTATCAGTTAGATCCGATTGGTTGAATGTTGTCGAAACAAGTTTTGTATGAGAAAAGTTAGCTTTGATAAGTGTTGTTTTGTAAAAGTACATATTATTAAGAGAACAACCACTGAAGATAGCTCCAGTAAGATTAGATTCTGTCAAATCCCAACTGTCGAGATGTCGATTAGCAAAGGTGCCATTAACAATATCTACGCCATGAAGCGAAACTTTGTTCATTGATGTACGAGTGAAATCGATTTCATTCAAATAGGCTGTCGATAGATCGAGTGGATTATTACCAACTGTTAATTGTTCAGCGTCGTAGAGGAATTTCAGGAGTTGTAGAGAACGTCGCGGGCCAACTTGTCGAATAACATTCAACGATCTAGCACGAGCAACTGCAGCTATAGTTGGTTTCATTGTCAACGAACCATTACTCTTTTCGAGTAGAATTCCGATTTCATTGTAGTAAGAGAGTAAAAGAGCATCGAGATATTTTTCTCGTTCTTGTTCATATCGTTGTTGTTCAATGTCAAGGTCATGTAGATGTTGATCTCGAGACATATTTCGTTGTCTATCAGCATTGATATCATCGGCCATTCGTTTCTCATCAGCCAATAGCTTGTCGTTTTTACGTTGCTCTTGAGCAATCCATTTGTCGAGTTCACGCTGTTCAGCAGATATGTTCAAATCATGTTCGCGTTGCAAATTGGCCCGGTATCGATCTTCACGACGTTGAATACTTGTTTCATTTCGTTGCTCGAATGTAATAACAACAGTAAAAATGGCAAGAATAAGGGGTACTAATAGACTTCCGATTATTTTTATGCTATAATTCAACATAAGACTACGACAGGACTGATTAGAAGAAGTGTACCGGTCAGACATGGCGTTTTTATCTCAAATAGCAGGTGTCGGTACCACTGAAAGAGTGAAAAATGATGGTGTGATGATAGATAAAAATTGTGAATAATAACTATGAAAAATGCTATAAAACTAGCTTTCATTCTTTTTTTTACACATTGACAGATATGTCAATCAATATACTCGAATTGACTGGCGTTTTTATTACCTCCGACATTCTTTTCCATCGCCAGATGTGCAAACTAATACATGTAAATGAACTTAGTACCATTAGCATCGTCCTTTTTTCTGAAAATACATTAATAAAATTATGAACTTTTTCTCATATTTAACTGAAACAAGATAGCGCTTATTTCAAGAGGAAAACCAGCGGCTCGAAATCGAATATACGTATCGTTGACTTACACTTACTGTAAATTAGAGTATATATTATAGAACATAGAGGACGATATACTAAGAATGTTTATATGAATTTGACAACGAATTTTCATCATCTCAAAATGTGATATTCAAGATATTTCGACATTCAACTTTTGAGTTTCTTTTTGAAACATCATAGTCAAAATCGCACAGAAACTGTTTAGCTCAGTTTCAATGATCCTGGACTTAAAATTAATTTGAGAAACCGAAAAAATGAAATTTTCTATTTTTTGTAATTATTTTAACATAAAGGAGGTAAACTTATAAGGTCCTCAGTCGATCCATAAAACTTTTTTCGCTGGTACCATTACCATCTTATATCAAATGAAAGATCACGTTAAGATAAGCATTTTGTGTGACGGAACTTATTATTTTTCAACAGATAAATAAAAAGTTTGAACAAGTTCAATATATGGTGTTTTTGAGCCTAAATTGGTTCCATGACCAATCTCATATAGTGCTCCTATTCATTCATGTAGAGAGAATGAGAGAAAAAGATTCTTTTTACCACTAAGAGCTCTTTACATTATAGTTACAGAACTCATATATGAAATTCCAAATATCTGTAGGTTTTCGTGTAGTTAATGAACATGACTTCAGTTTATTGGGGAATAAACACTAAACACGAAATACAGGATGAAGGAGAATAGCGCACGAGAACAAGAAAGAGTATGAGAAGAACGAACAAAGGAATGACCATCTAGATTTATCTATGGATAACTCGAACAAGAGTAAAGGAAAGAAAATGATACAACGTAATTGATAGAGAATAAATCAAGATCAACATCATTCCTTCACTTGTGCATGCAGTGGTTAGACGCATTCTTTCTCTTGTCGCTTCTATTCTTTTATTTGCACTCTTCGTCTTTTGGTCTTTCTACACAAGAATCTAAGTCCAAGACTTGTTGATTCTTGTGGTCAATGACCGCCTCAATTGAAAACACACATAATGGTATGATGTTGCAGCAACCAGTTCTCTTGTCGGATGAAAACTCCAGTAGATATAGCAGACCGAATAATGTTACACTGGCTTCTAATAATGAAACAATAAAGGAACAACAAGTTGTTTACTACACGGTACCATTAAACATACAATCGACAGATAACCGTCAGCCATACGTTTACATGCAACAACAGCAAAATAGCCAAATTGTTAACCATTATTCACCAGCTAATTTAATAGTGCATCCTCATTCTCAAAGTCAACAACAACTGCTTTCGTTAAACAACAACAACATGCTTGCTTATGCACAACAGCCAATGGTACATTCCAACATAACTCAACAACAAGTGTTCTTATCAATCGGCCAACCATCGGTTAATGTAACGGAGCTCCCTGAGTCAATAATGATTAATCCAACAGTATCTTCAACACCAATATCAGCTAGCACCAAGAGAGGGCGCAACGACACTAGTGGTATTTCAGAATCGAATGTGCAAGTGCGACACCAATATCCTCAAAACAATCATTTTGCTAACTCTAGTAGTACACCTATGGAGCGTCTACGAGGTATGGACCAACCCATCGTTCAACTTTCAAATAATTTGCAACAACCTTCAACCGAAGCCTGTCGCTTTCCAACCACCAGATACTCGTTCTCACCTTTCTCGGTAATCTTTATACAAGAAGTTCGGGACAAAATGGTGCTGGATGATCTGACCAAACACTAGTGGCGTATTCAGGATTTTTCGGTATGCTCGATTTCAACTTCAGAGCATGGGACCCACGTGAAACTTATACAGATATGATATTGGGCCCAAATTATGAG